AAGGAAGGGAGGGAGGGTGGAGGGTGAGAGCTGGAAGGAGGGACGGCAGAAAGGGGTGACAGCACATTAAAGCGGAAGTCATAACAATGCATGCAAATGAGTGACGCGGGTCCCAGGGGAATGTCCCGCTGCGTTACCGGGCCCATTTGACAGAAATCCGATGATCAGCAACCCACCAGCATCGGAGCGGCGCGAACCCGGCTCCCGATAAGCCTTCGCCGGCCATAACCTCGCGACGAACGGAGGCACGGAAGGGGAGGGGGGGGGGCGAACCGCATTACTAGCGGTGTCTCGGCTTCGTTTATAACGCTCGTAACGGAGCCTCTTTAGCACCTCGTCACGCCGGAAGTCAATAGCTTCATTTTTTATTCTTTTTAGATCTCTTTCCTCCCTCTTCTATGGCACTGACGCCGGGAGTGCAATATGCAATGTCTTATTGTCCTCTCATGTTGCCGAACTTCTTGCAAAGGGAAGGGGAGATGGAGAAGATAAGGTGATACAAAAGAAGAGCAAGAAAAGGAGAGTGAAACTTACATAATGAAAGGAGGAAGAAGAGAAAATGTTAAGCAAATATAAGGCCAGACAAAGAGACTACAGAATAAACGGACAGAAAGGAAAAAAAACGGATAAGGGAAAAGGAACAGGAGGCAAAGGGCGACGGGCAAACGGGGAAATCCTAAAAGGGAAAGGTTAGAAAGCAGATACGGCACATTCACAATCTGAACCCAGGAAAGTCGACTCGTTTTTCTCTTCCCCGCATCCTGCTGGGAGCTAATGGAACGACCAAATTCTCTTGCTAGATTAACGCTTTATTTACCATTTCTCTAATAGCTACACCACTCTTTACAACAATGAAATGGCCAAGCGAGATCCCTACCGAAAAAAGATAGAGGCATTGTTTACATTCACAGGCTACTGTTGTGAACCCGCCCATCCGCATCCCTCATCGGCCACATAAATAACCCTTCATTCCCTGCTGGGTCATACCCCCCCCTCCTCCGACCTCCACCTACAGAGACGTATGTACGCAACAAATCCTTCGTTGTAGAGAAGACTCTTTATGGCCTCCTCAGTCGATCTAACGCCATATCAGATCATGGGAAATCGTCTTTCTCGATCAGCGTTTACTTAGCGAAAGGATAAACCCCGCTTCATCCGGGGTACTCCGCCTCCTCAAGATGGGGGCTCTTACCAACTTCCGCCTTCGGGAAGTAGCTGTCGGGAAATGGCGCGAGGTCAAGCGCGGGTGGAGGCAAAGGGTCAACGGTCCTCGAGAAAAAATGCAGGAGAGGAGTAGCGGGCAAGAGAGAAGGGACGGAAATAAACGAGAGGCGACGAAGGAATAGACGAGAATGAGAAAATGAAAGCGGTTCTTGGTGGTGGAGGAGGGGAGGTGCCTGAGGGCTGGCGATGCAGGTGTCGGCGGTGTTGCGGTCGCGGGTAAATGAGCCGAGAATCACGGCGGGGAAAACTGTGCGAGGGAGGTCCAGGAGGCGATCGTCGAGGGCGAGTAAAGACCTTATACGTTCAAAAAGACGTCGAGAGGAGGTCGAGAGGTCGGGCACAGGATGCTGGCTGGCTGGTTGGTTAGCTCCCTTCCTCCCTTCATTTCTTCGCCCTCCTTCCCTCCTTCTGAAGCGTGACCCTTGCTAGAACACCTACCACCTGCCATGCGCTCCACTAGCGGCGCGGCGACCTAGCCCAACTGTAGAGCAGTTAACTAGCATTCAAAGAAGATAAAACCATGATTCCGAACGTTGTTTACAAGAGGAGCGAATGGAATGCCTTAAAATTGTTGTAGGCAATCACTACCATTACTTTCTCCGTATCATATTTGTATCTGACGCCATAGACGGGAAACAAGCAATACGAGTCACTGTTTGAAAGTATCCAATAGATAACGGCGGAGCCATTTTCCTCGTCGCAACTCATGTCATTAGCGCGACGAGAGAAACCTCATGTTCACACAACATCAATCTTCATCGAGAGGCCGACGCAGTCCTGATGGGTCGTGTAGCCCGCCCTTCCCCTGCCTCTTGATTGGTCTCTGCGACACTGCTCCGTAGGCGTTTTTTGTTCACTGAGAACTTCTCTGTGAACACTGCTGCAAATATAAATGAACAAGACTAACTGATCTCCTTTGGATCTCCCTTTTGAGCGGGCGTCCCTATGTATCGTTCCTCTTGTTATACCAAGCAAATGGGGTATCCTCTTACTCCAATACCAACCCCTAGTCGACTATCCTCCTCCTGTGCCTCCTACACGAAGCCTGCACCTCCCTTACACAGTCTTTCTACCCCCCCCCCCTCCCCCACGTCACCTGCCCGACCCACACTCACAGCTTCCATCTCCTCCTCCTACACTAGGCCTCATTTTCATCCTTTGATGGCCTTTTCTTCAGCTTCATTTCCCCGGACTCCTCCTCCATATGTCTCCTTCCTCGTTTCCCTCCTCCGCCTTCCCCTCTCTTCATCTCGCTCCACCTCCCACTCACACTGCTTCTTTTCATCCCGCCGTCTCCCGCCGCTGCGACCGGAAGCTGGTGGCGAGGTCACGCAGATGCCCTTCGGGGAGGCGGAGTTGAAACCTGGACGGCTAAATTACACACACAAAGATGCCCGATTATGAGGTTATCAGGGGCGGCGCCGCGGTCGACTGCCGCCTCCGTGGTCGTGGGATTTTGGTCCTAAATGACACCGGGAATCGCGGCTCGGAGGGCAATTAAAGCTGTTCTCGAACGCGATTACCATGAACCTTTAACAAACGATATCAAGGGCACCTATTAAGTAATCTATCCACTCTCATTTTCCAGGAGGAAAAACAGCGAAGCGATTCTTTCGATCTTTTTCTGTGCATTTTATAACAGTGCATCGCGGCGGGAGGCGGGGAGGGGACGGGGAGCATGACCTTTCCCTGTGACCCCTTGGCGCCGGAGGCTGACCTACGTGATCCAGTAAGGCGGCCTAAAATGCCACACCAAAACACCCGGCCGCTTTCTTTTCCTTCTGTCTTCATCTTTACAAGGAACTACGAGTGAAGTAAAACTGCCGTCTCCCGTAAGCAGCTATTTTCTCAACTATTCTCAAGTATTGATGCAAAGGCCCCCTATCATTGCGTTCCGTGCAACACCATTACTTGCTCAGGAATGTTGCTGTAATAGATGGTTTCCGGCAACGCAGGTCCTCCGGGCAAAAGTTAAGAAGTTGAGACGAAATTGATGCGCTGCGTTAGACCCCCCCCCCTCCCTCCCCCTCGAATTAACCTGCCGACGCTCATCTTGCAAATTGATTTCCCTAAAACTTCCAACCTAAACGACAGGAAAAAATGATCTCCTCTAAACAAAGCTACCAAACTCAAAAATCCCACAGCCTAATGGAACATCACCTTCGCCAATAAAAAACAACAACTGAAACACATGGCTCCGACTGAAGGCTCCACCCAAGACTCCCCAAAACAGCCCACGAACCAAAGAAGTCCCTCTACGACAAAACCAGCGATACACCCGTAACACCATCTGAATGGGATGATAAAAGCCCCCCTCCCCCACATCCCTTTTTTACCAGCCCGTAATAGTCTCCTCCCCCTTTCTTTTATCACTCATCTGTATCCACAATACTTTTCCTCGCCTCCCGTTTAACGATCCTCTCCGCAGATTTATTGGGTAAATAAAATGCACAAAACTGCCAGCGCTCCATAACAAAGCAACGTGCGGCGGCGACCTTCTCTTTCCCGGGTCACGTGATGAAGGTTTGGGTCGCACGTCGTTCAAGGTCACTAAAGGTCAATCTCTGAGTTCTGATGATGGTAATGAAAAGAAAAACACCGTTGTTGGGAGGCGGGGAGTAATTGTTCGCTGTTCAGTATAACTGTAAGAAGAAAGAAGGAGAAATAGAACAAAATGAGAAGAACAAGGAGATAAAGCGGTGGAAAAGGAGTAACACGAGTAGAAAATAGGAAATGAAGACTATTAGGAATGGGAGGAATAATGAAAAGGAAGGAGGCGATTAGTTCTGCGAGGAATAACGAAAAGGAATCACAAGGATAGCAAAATAGAAAGAAACGAGTGATAAAGGATAAATAAAACGAAACCATAACAAGGAAAACACTAAGAAAGAAAATTTAACGATGGAATAAAATTACGAAAACAATCGAAAACGTTAAAGGAGGAGGAGGAGGAGGATGAGAGTGCATACGGAGAACGAAGGAAAACAAAGAGAAAGAAAACAAGATCAAAAGGGGGTAATGAAAGAAGATACGGTAAGGGAGGAGACGGAGAAGACGGAGGAAAAGAGAAAATCAATAAGGGAGAGTATGTGAGGCTACCCCTTGCTACTCACCGCCGCTTCTACTGCAAATCTGGTATTCTCACACTGAACCACACTAATTAACGGAAATCCACTCGGGTTATTAACGTAATAAAGCGCTTAAGCATGTGCACTATAATTACTCACAATACAGAAAAAGTACATATCACCATATCATTCGCACATACACACACATAGCAACAAGAACCAGGATACTTGTGCGAGTTTCTTCGCCTTTCGAATGAAGGAAGAATTTTAGAAAGGAAGTAAAAACGTATTAGAATAATCACAAATCGCGGTCCACAAGGCTCCCAGGACAGGTCAAAAAGATTCTTCAAAAAGGGGAGGGGAAAGTTATAGCAGCGATTACTTTGCATAAGTTGTAAAAAAAAAAAAATAAATAAACTATTCAACTGGGCTCGTGAATAACTTAAGGAGGCAACTCGGGGGAGGCATCGGCAGCTCGTGCGTGGGTGGAGGATGAGACTCCCGAGATCACCGTCGCGCCCTAACGATCACTGAGGTAAGTTATTCGTCATAATCACTCATCGATGAAAATGGTTGTAATGACTCTATGCATGCGTTCCCGGGACTTCTATTCGCCAATGCCATGGGGGAAAATTAGTAAGAGCATCATCTGGTGAGGACGTTTCGCGACACACACCACGTAAAAATGGCCAGCTGATGTTTACATACCTTGACGTAACTCCTCTCCGTGTCGATAAGCTCCAGGATGACCTTCTTGAGGCGCTCGCCGTCGCTGAGTTGGCGGGAGGGCGTCAACTGCGACTGGCTCTGAGTGGAGGCGATAGAACCCGTGGGGCTTGACCTCCGCTCGACAGGTGACCGACAGCATCCACTCAATTCAGAGTTCTGCTGGGGGGGAAACAAGGCATGTTTAGTTTCAAGGTGAAAGGAATACTCCGGCTGGAACGTAAATATAGAAACTACGTCTAAAGATCATCTAATCATCAAACTTTTGTTTACACGTTTTTTCTGGGTGGTCTAAAAGACCATGTGTAAAACAACGAAATGAAACTTAAGGTGAAACGCTACACCCACACACATGATTACCCGTAATTATTGACTAGCATGTCATCTGCTTTTACGTAACCGTAAATTATTTCGTATTGCAAAAGTTTTACAGGGGTCGGGTGATGTCACACATCCTGTGACCTAAACAGTGAAACACTGCTGGTTATCTGATGAAGAGTAATTATAAAGAGTAATTACGCCCTGTATAACAACCTCACAACACGCATCTTCACATTGCTTCAAACTCAGTGCATTTAAACACGCCTTTCGTCTTTGCCCAAAAACAAATATGAAAATACGCACGATCCTTGGCCATCAACACTTGGTTGGTATATCTAAATTACACGTTTTAATATCTTCCTTTTTGCTGGACAACGATGAAACACCTAGACCTCCAAAAGGCTGACAACGAGAACAACACCTTTCCCTTTCACAACACTGCCACTGCTGGGAAACACAGCCACATGCTCGCGAAATCGCCACGAAAAATCGAAACTTACCATAGTTCCAAATGCCGTCAGACCCCACGCACAGAACACAGACTACTGCTCTCGGTCACAGCTAATACCATACTCCACTATATAATCCACGGTGCAAGAGAGGTAATCCTAGGGTAAAATTCAACGTCACACCACAGTCTCAGTAGTCGTAACTATATTGTTACATTGGAACATGACCAATAACACACGACGCTGTTTCCCCTGATGGTTTAACTGTCGTACCGCGCTCAGGACACCCTGCCTCGACGCGGAACAGGGGAGGTGTAGCATAAACACAGTCCACGACAATCGCACGATGAACAATGGTCATTTTGCATTTGTTTGGGTAAAAATGCACAGGACAATAGCGTGTCATTTCCTACACAGCAACGGCGTACTATTTCTCCTTCCATTTGGGATGCTGCGGACTCTCATCACGAGACCAATCTCAATCCAGCTCAGGTCCATAACGCTGCCGGGCGTAGGACTCCGAGTACGTCAATCACATCTAGCAAAGGCGCTGTTTGTACGGGATACCTAGCCTCGTCGGTAAACATCGAACATGCCTTTCCGTTGTGAGCAGGTAATAGTGTCAATAATGTACGAAAACAAGACACACATGATGGGGACAGCAGGAGAGAGCGACATAGGCCTAGTGTCTTCTCGCTCACCGACATCGGGTAATCAATAACAAGGGGGACACAAAGATTCCAAATACGACCGTTGACACTTTCTCTTATCTATCACTAATCATCAAAGGAACTTAAGTGGGAAAAGATAATTTCAAGTTCCCTTAAAAGTTTTGGCCGCACTAATCATCAAAGGAATTGACTTAAGTGGGAAAAGATAATTTCAAGTTCCCTTAAAATGTTCATTGGCCGTATGTCACCTAATGACAAATGGCGCGGGGCATATAATGGGTAACTGACGATGAAGAAATCATAATACGAATGACTGAAATAAATTGAATATGATGCCACTTTTATGAATGATATTCATAAGCTGTCTACCGATTTCCATAAACTGTCGACTAGGAATAAAGCATTTGCATCTGGAGCCTCGAGAAATTCCTTACACAGGGAGAGAGAAGAATAAATGAAATGTGTTCACAGAATTATATATTATCTTAGGTAGAGGCATTGTGAACGATCTGTACAACCAAGTAAAGTGAATTTGTGATCTCCAACCGCACTCTCAAATTCTACCTTGTTCATTTCTTTAAGCAGTGCAACATGACCGCCATTTTCTTTTCTGCCTTTTCCCGCTCACCTTTTGCGATGTTAAAAGTGCCCACGCAGATCTTTGACTACAACATACGCTCTTCCACCTAGTGCAGCCTGCCTCCTTTCCCTCCTGTATTCTCGCAACTCGGCGACGGCGTGAGATGAGAAACACCCACTCGGGGTTAACTACGCGCAAATGTTCCGTTAGTCTACCTGTGCAGCAGACTCCCCTAGCGGTTAACACGTTCATTTCGAGTGTTGTTTTTTGCAATTGTTTTTTGTTTAACCTATTAGCATAAATCACTCTCAATTCAATATCAAACACGACTATAAATCACAGTAACGTGTTGTGCCACTCATTAAAACTAAATTTAATCGTTGTGACCACTCTAACATTCATCCATAAAACGGAGGCGAGCGCTGGTTTACGCTCGTGCAACTTCAAAACATTTCCCAGACTCTCAGAATGAAAAAAATACGTAACACTAAATCACAAAATTAATCCAATTCCTCCTGACATCTAACAGGAGACCCGATGCAGCGTAACCTGATAATGTGTCGCATAATCATATTTTCCTTAATTTCCATCCCGATTCTAATTTATCTACAACAGCCATTATTCAAGTATTATGCAAACACACATGTTGCTACCACAGCGCCATCCCATAACAGTTCATCTCCTGTTCAACGTCTGGCGGGATAGAGCAATGGGCTAAAGTTACATAGTACATCATAAAGACATATCCTACACAGCTGAGTTGCTGTCGGAAGCGCCATCCTAGAGGAGAGTGTACAGTGGAACACATACATTGTAAGGATACACCGACTTACGCACACTCCAGCGCGTGTTCAAGTGTTCATCATGGCGGTGCGTGACTGGGCTTAATTTTGTCGCAACTCACGCGAACTTCACATAAAGCACACGTCTCACTCGACACTTTTTTACTTATTAAGAACTGTGCCACTTCCTTTATTGATTTTAACGAAAAGTCCTTTTTCATAGAAACTGCATTGGAAAGTAATCGTATCTGATACAATCCCATTACTTTTACGGGAAACGTCTTTGATCATCTGCGCGATAGGAAAACGGGGGCAAAAACATTTACTCTGTGAAATAAAACAAAACGCTGTTAGGAGGATTGTTGCTGTAATCCAATAACGCATGGATATTTTAAGACACACGGAACCCTACAAAGCGTATCACTGTCCAACAGAAGGTTAAACACACATTCCAAACAGCTGAGGCAGCCCAGCGGCATCAAGATTATTTAAAACAGCGTCAACTTTTTGACATACGCGATTTATATCCCGTCTATACAACCATCACGCGCCCGACGTAACAGAGAGCAACCAATCAGCAACAGAGCGAGACGAGAAATGTGAGCATCGCCATACCTTACCTGCCGCCAAGTGATAGATCATAATAAGCACACGCATACGTGATCCTGGATTGAGTCACGCATTATATCCTGCGACAGTGAAGGGAGTATCAAAAAGACCGATCGAGACGTCATATCGAAGTAAGCGCTCTTGTACGACCACAGCTCAAGATATCATACCGTCTCACTCTGCACTCGTCGCTCGCCTAATCTAGAGGACTAACTGACGTAGAACGTATGTATCCGTGATAGATCATGCAACTAACTTATAATATACTGCATATGATGAGAGACATGATCAGAGAGCGAGAGATCACGGATCGCAGTATAGAGAGATAGACGCAGACGCAGATATATCTGAGATCGACGCTACTAGTTCTATCCCGCGTAAGCATCGCGGCGTAGACTGCACCCAACGATTTAGAAAGCTACAATGAGATACATCTCAACGCAACACTATGAGAGAGTGCACTAGAGCGAAGAGAGAGAGGAAGAGAGAGAGAGAGAGGGAGGGAGGATCTACCTATATCATCTTCCGTCCCACCCACCACAGATAGCGTCCTCTCGCCAAGTTCTGCCAGTTAACCTGAAATGCGACGCTGACGAGTTAAAGCAGAGTGGGTGCAGCTGACGAAAATATGGTCATCGACATCTCGAGTTCCATCGTCACCCCTCACAACACAGCTGCATATTCCTGCGTATGAACCATCAACGCGACGCTATTCGAGCATCACGGAGGGGACGTAAACCTCATCTAATCGAGGCAGGGGAAGCGACATATCTATCGGAGCCAAGGTGCGAAGACTGATTCTAGACTAAATTTCGAAACGCATCATCATTCTACTTGAAGTCCCTGAACCGCAAGTCCTGAGACTGCTCCGATCGTCAACCGATTAGCCATCACCATCCATCCAGTCTACCTATCGTAACTCAGGTATCCCGTATCTTGCACGCCATCTCCATTACAGTCCAAGAGTACCCATAAAAAACATACATAAGTGCAAGTATTTAAAAGCGTCATGCCGGCCTGAATAACTATAACCTTAACGAAACAGAGGTAATCGGGTCCCTGGACGCAAAGAGGTCAGGCTCAGCCACGAATTATTAAGACGAGACCTCCGGAGGCTAGTGAGGTCTGTGGCAGACCAATAGATGCAGCCGACGGAGGCTTCTGTGCAGACTATCCTATCGTAAACATCTTAGTACCAAGTCCATACCGCGTCCTCTCAGAAAAAACCACTCGAGGAGCGGAGGACGGAGAGGGAGAGAGAGATGGAAGAAAGAGAGAGAGGAGAGAGAGAGAGAGACGGGAGAGAGAGAAGAGAGGGAGGAGGAGGAGAGGAGAGAGAGAGAGAGCAGAGAGAGAGGAGATGAGAGAGAGAGAGAGACGAAGAGGAGAGAAGAGAGAGGAAGAGAGAGAAGAGAGAGAGAGAGAGAGAGAGAGAGAGAGAGAGAGAGAGAGAGAGAGAGAGAGAGAGAGAGAGAGAAAGAGAGAGAGAGATGGATGCGTAATTAAAAAAGGACACTAAATCAAAATAGCTCTCCCGTAGCCTCAAGGTACGCAGTACATCATCGCATACGCAATAGCCACAGTATTACCACCGCGTTAGGAATCCCAGGTGTGCGCGGCCTGATCCCCAACAGCGAAAAAAAAGGATTCGTCATTATAATATGTCATATACGCTTACATCAGATCGTGGTGGCAACGGAGAGGCTTGCACCACGCCAAGGTTATGCCGAAGAGGGAGGAACAAGAGACC